AGTGGAAATGAAAGCAGACAACAGAACATTGTTAGAGATCTGGAAAGGATGTGAAAGGAGACAATTTTAGAGAAGAAAATTTTTGGGTCGCTACCCGGAATCGAACCCGGGACCTTTGAATGAGAGGCCAACACCTTAACCTCTAGGCCACGAGAGCCCCCTCTGCGCAAGTGGCTGTAGGTAAAACAAAAACAAAACAAAAACAGCCCTGAAAACTCGGAACCTGTCCTAAATGACCTGGACAACCAGAGAGCAAATGTTCTCAGGGAACTCACAACTGCAGAGCACAACATTGGATTAGATCTTGAAAATGAGAACCCCCCCCCCCCCCCCCCCCTCCTGTTCCAGATGAACAGATGGAGAAGAGGTAAGTTTCCTCATATGTTTTTTTCAGACCCAGTCGCAAAAGGAGAAGAAAAATGAAATGAAATTGTATGAGTTTAACGCCCCTATCAACACTATCAGGTTATTTAAGAGGCATTGTATTCTTTCATGGCCCAATCAGTTGCCAGTATCTAGCATCTGCGTTTGTTGCCATTTTTTCGTCCAAAAGTTGCCAAAAGTTGCCAAAAGTTGCCAAAAGTTGCCAAAAGTTGCCAAAAGTTGCCAAAAGTTGCCAAAAGTTGCCACAAAAACGGCAAAAGTTGCCCAAAAAGTTGCCATTAGTTTTCAAGCTTTCAACTCTCTGTGACGACTTGTATAGCACTTTGTTGATAGGGGTAACTTAATCTAAAACACCAGAATTCTTGCTCTGTTTTAAGCATCCAGAATAATTATCTTTGATCGCCACACTTAATGTGAAAACGTGAAAAATAAAGGTTCCACAACAGAAGAAAATCAAAATTAGAACAGCAAATAAACAACCACAAAAATTAACAAACAAGGGCGTGTGTCAATCCATCAATAGACTGGTCGTTTTAACCATAAACGCGGGTAACTCAAGAAAAAGTACAGATATATATAACATGTACATTATGGAAGAGGCCTGCCAGTGTCAGAATGCGGTTTTGGTGGAGACACACTCTAATATAACACATTTTTACAGAAAGGTGGAACAACATTACGCTATACATTTGTATAAACACAAAAATAGAAAGGCAACAAATAAGAACAATAACGAGGAAAAAATACACACCAACATTTAAATTAAAAACAACAAAACGGGAAACATGAGAGAGAAACAGCAATATAATACATGTAGTATGTAATGGAGCCTACTTATATTCTTCACATGAAAATAACAAATCAACGTGGTGTTAACAAGTGAGAAAGAGACGAAGTGAAGCGAATAAACTTTCTTTCTAAAAGTAAAGAGGTTTGGTTTCTTTTTCTTCACGAATGTTCCCCGTTTTTTGTTGTTGTCATTTTAAAATATTTTTTTCTTCCCGGCGGTAGTTTTTTGTTGGAAAATGCAAAAATCGCGACAAAAATCGCAGCTGCAATTCGCGGGTCGCGGCCTCGACAAACGCAGATGCTGGCAATATGAAGAGGAAAAAGTGAGAGCAGGCATCCTTGTCGCAATCTTGTCCGTACCTGAAATGGTTCTGAGAGTTCTCCTTCGTGAGAAAACGTGGTAGTTTGTTCCAACAAATTCATAGGTGGCTTTCACAAGCTTGACCATTTTGTCACGTATTCCATAATGCCTCATGAGTTTCCACAGAGTTTCCATGTCCACGCTGTCAAATGCCTTTTCATAATCAACGAAGTGGTGAATTCCATTCAAGCGATTGTTCAACAATGATGCGCAGACTAGCGATCTGGTGCACATATGATCGGTACTTGCGGAATCCTGCCTGGCTTACTCGGAGCTTCTCGTCTGTTGCCAGCTTGATTCTCTCCATGAGTATTCTGTAAGAAAGAAAATTTCCAGGTATGGACAGGAATGTTATGCCCCTGTAGTTGTTACAATTGCTGAGGTCTCCCTTCTTCGGCAGTAAATGGCAGCTTAATTAGGTGGCCTTCCTTCTGATGGTATTTCCCCCTCTTGGCAAACCTTTTCGAAAGGGGCTTAGAGAATTTCCACTTATTATGTATCTTTATCTGCCATAAGGGCTTCCGGTAGTATATGGTCGGGTCCAGCTGCTTTGTGGGACTTCAGTGATGAACTGTTATAGCTGTAGCAATTTACTCTCAAAGGTGGTTCCGTAACTATGTGGGGGTCATTTCTGGCTAGAAGAATTTCTGGTTGGTTTTCTGGAGGTGGTCTGTTCAAGAGTTGATCAAAGTGTTCTCTCCACCTGTTAAATTGTAATTATTATTACTACGACCACTATTATTATTACCATTATTATT